TTCATAAACAGGTTGCATATGAAGCTTCTTAAAGTTGGACAACCAGAATTCCGACAAGCTGCTGAGTTAGTGATCATTCAACGACAACCAAACTTTAAGAAAAGGCCCGGGCAGCATTAAATAACACACAAGCCTCCATTGTCTGCAAACATAACATTAAACAAGTACTACTCAGTGAGCATATCACACCATCCAATACTCAAATTGCATCGCAAATATTTTTACATTTCCAAATCCAAATTACTCTTATACTTATTATTGAAATTCAAACATAACTTTTGATTGTAACTCATTATTATATAACACTAGGTGGTTTTCCCCGCGCAAGGCGCGGGTGGTGCCTGGGGGTGGTCCGTGTTTGTTTGATGTATGAGGAAGAATTGGTCGTAAAAATTGAGAGGTTATTATGGTTAAATTTGTTGAGCTATATTAATATGTACAATATATATATTAACACGCTTATATTATAGATTTTTTGTTTTTGGTAGATTGTAGTCCAACCAATCTGAGTTTAGACTGGTTGGTAGCTTATCTACCATCAAAAGAGTTAAATATGTACATAAAAGTTGTCTTTTTGCATGCCTTTTACAAAAGTCATAATAGGCATAATCAGTGGTGTAGATGGAATCCACACTACATTTGCGTTCTGTTGGTCACAAAAGCAAAAGTTGTTGTGTGAAGCTTACTGAGACTGTTCTTCATCATCTGATTTTGCAGTTCGCTATTTTTTTGGTGGACTTTCTGTTATTTTTAGTGAAGTCAAGAACCAGTCATCAACCTTAGCTTTTGTGGATCCCTGTGCTCTGTTGCTTGGTGTGACTAATGGTGTTGCAATGTTTTCTTCGTTTTCAATGTCCATTGGTTCTTGTTCATCCTCTGCACTTGTTCCTTCTGTGTATTTTTGAGCACTGCTGGTTCCTGCTGCTCTTGTCAGCCTGCTACCTTTGTCAGCTAGGTGGATCTTGTGAGCAACTATAGCTGTGTATTTTTGAGTTGTAGAAGGCTCATAGCTATAAGGTGTCTTTTTTATGAAGCAGATAATGGTGTTCTCGCTGATGCATTCTTCTATAGCCCTATAAGGAATGTTATTCTGTAGTTGTGTAACATACGTTATTGAGATGATTTATTGTGTATTGTGTAATGATTAGCTAAACTTGATTTGCAGGGGAAAGTCGTAGTTATGATAATTACCTCTGATTCTTGTTGCTGAATTTCTGAGATTTTATATGGCAAGAGCTGCTGAGCATCTTTTCCATATAGATCAAGTGTAATGTTACCACTCCAATCCAAAAAGGAAAATCAATAGTTATTCTTGGTCTGATGGATATAAGAGTGATTTGATTAGATAAATGATTAGTTGTTAGTTAAGGGTTAAATGTCACATACATTACCTTGTTACAACATGGATATGACGTTGACAGGAGAGACAGGTGATTTTATACTTAGGTGTGCTGCGAATGGATTTGTGACAGAAAGGGCAAGCATGATACCCGAGTTTTTGGCTTCTGTCCAGAAGTTTGGGTGTTCCTTGTATCTAGAATGTTTTTTTCTATAACAAAGGGAATGGTATTTTAATTAGTTTGTGCAGAAATTTGTATCAGATAATCAGATAATTTGTAAAAATGTGTATGAGCTAATGTTTACCTGTGGAGCAGTCACAATGGCACCTATATGGGTTATATTTTCTGCATCTGGTGGTGAAAGAAGTTCCAATGGGCTTTCATATGTTTTTTTAGTAATGGCCTTGGTGATTGCCTTATTATTTTCAGTTGCCATGTTGTTGTAGTTTATGTGCTAGTATTAGTATTGTGACATGTGGTTGAAATGTATTTTATTAGTTTATTGAGTGCTTACCGTTGCCTTAGAGGTGGACCTTCTTGTAATGGTGGGTTGATTAGGATGCAGGATGCAAATTTTGTCGAAAGAGTTAGAGCTGCAATTATGTTTGTTTGCTTTGGTTAAGACATGTTAATGCAATTTTTTATTCTAGTAACTAAGGGGTTAAAAGTTCTTACTGCCGTATGATGTCGCCTTAACTTTGAGAGCTGCTATTAATGGCTGAGTGTGAATTGTTTCAGCAATTATTTGTCCTTCGTCAGTTGCATGCTCTCCCTAGAGTGTAAGGATGATTGCCATTGAACTGATACAAGAAAGCTTTTCGTTAGTAATTGCGATGGACTTGTCAGTAGCTTAAAATTAGTTTTGGTATTATACATTTGATCTGCGAGTACAATGTCTCTGATTGGAGTTGTTCCTTTGGTTGATTGTGGATTGACGTGGACAACAATACCAATCACATCTGCATTTAGTTTTATGAGAGTTTATTGAAGACATGTAATTATTATTGTTGAAATAGAAAATATTACCTAAATAGAACAAACAGGATTGATAATTTTGTACGATGTTGCATACGTTTTTTAGCCGTCATTTTCTGTTTTTGAGATCTGGTAGATCTTTGCTGCTGAGTGGACACAAATATGGTAAGAATTATGTTAGATAAAGAGAAGTAATTGGTATAGAAATACATTTATAGATAAAGGAATTTATTGAGACAAAAGAAACAATGGAAGAAAAACTCCATGAACAACATAATGGACCTTTAATGGAAACATTATGATCTCTGACATTTGATTGTAAGGTGTCATTGAGAGAAGGAACCATAGCAATGCCTACAAGACCATAAAAGAATGGAAGGGAGACATTTTGTTAAGATGATTCATAAAGTAATAGAAGCTAGCAATGTAAACAGTCAAAGCATCATTGGGAACCTGGTGTATCTTGCACAACATCAGAAATATAGCCATAACAGTTGGTGCAAATTGGAGATTCACCTGCTATATAAGAGTAGTTAACAATTATTTATGATTATAAAATACAAAAATTTTGTGTACTTATCAAAATCAACCTTGATTTCGTTCTGTATTGGACTGTAAGGATTGGTGGAGACATTGTAGTGTAGGCTCCTGAGCAATGGTTGCAATAACTATAAATTTCATAATGATAAGTATATAATTAGTGATCAGATAATCAAGTGTAAGATCATAATAAGAAATATGAAATGCATGACGAAATGATTAAATAACTGAATAAATTAACCTTGATTTGTTATAGGCTGGAGCACAGCTATTTGTGGGAAGTCATTAGATTGCAATTGGGGCTGCATAGTTTGTTGCAAAGATTGGTTATGATGAAGTTCCTGTATATCTAAAGAAGCAGAAAAATCTTATAGAATAGGAAAAATGCTCATAGAACTTGATATTACATTTGTAAGTATATATAGGTATCTCACCCTGGAGTTGCTGATGAACATTGGTGGTAGCTGATATATTTGCATCGTTAGTGCATTGTTGAGGACACTTGGCACGTTCTTTAATCACTATTTTGAAGCAAAAAATATTTGCATTGAATAATCAATATTCATAAAAGTGGAATTCAGATATATTAATATAATATAATATAATACTAAGTTTAAATAAGTGAATAGAGGAAATAGCTTCTGCACCTGGATCAAGAGTCAGTTGGGCTTCATCACACAGCTGAAGGGTACCTCCAGTGGTAGTTTGTTTTTGATCAGTCAAATTAGTGGAATTTTTTTTAGCTTTCCTCGTTTGATACGCCTCTCTCTGTTTTAGACGGTGTAATTCTCTCTCCTCAGGTGATAACATAGCATATTTCTCTCTTAACCTTTGATTGCGTATAGTCTTTTGCGTAGCTGCCTTATGACTATTGCTACAACTACTCGTCCTATCGTTTAGCTGAATATAATAAACAAGCATAGGTGGAGGTAATGGTGTCTGGGAAAAAAAGCATGAATGCAAAGAGCAAGGAAAATTGATGCAACTATAAAAGTGGAGAAAATTGCAGTTAAAGCAGTCAAAGACGGAAGAGAAATTATTACCCAACAAAAGATGGCTAAAAGTATTCAAGAACTGCTGCAAAAAAAAAAAGGCAATATAACGTGAAAAACACATGCATGCAAAACATAAATGCACAAGGAACATAAACATGCATGAGGAAAACATCAAGACCAAGAGGTAAACAAGCGATCAGCAGCTATTCATGGAACAAAAATGACGAAACAAAATAGAAGGGAACAGAGCAGAACGATGAGTACCAGCAGCGGAAATGCAAAGGAAGCAAAGCGAAGCAGTGGATAGGTAATTGAGAATGAGAAACAATAGCATATGCGTATGAAGTAAAGTAATGAAGTATCTGGAATTACTGTTTGGTGATTTAACCCCGCAATCTTGTCAAAAGAATTGACAAAAAAGACCAATCCATATCCATAAGAAAGGCATATAAAAAGGATCTATTAAGGGTAAACAAAGGAACAATAAGTACATCAAAAAAGGTCAATCCATATCCATAAGAAAGGCATATAAAAAAGGAATTTATTAAGGGTAAACAAAGGGACAATAAGTACATCAAAAGAAAAAATGTAATATCAACCTAAAAATTCTGTACTTCTTACACAATCATCAGACGAATATCAGAAGCACATAAGGGAAAAAAAATAAAAAACCAAGACCATTGAGAGCACGAAATTGACGGAAAAGGCCTTGAAGGAGCAGATGAAAGTGGCCTTGTACAGTAAAACAAAAGTGCACCTTATATATTGTAAGAATATAAGGATATATAAGCAAATTCTTTAGATATCAATTTAGTAGATTAACTTATTCTTATTATATAATATGAGGATATATAAGCAAATTCTCTATATATCAATTTCCTAGGTTTTGGGGAGGTTGAGAACTACCGAAAGAATAATAAATAGTTGCTGAAATTACTAAAATGGCTTGGAACTTTTTTTGCAATTACTTGAAATTTTTTTTTGGAATGATTTAGATGTTAAATTGCGCATGGATCGGAATTGAAGGGTGAAAAGTTGGAGGCTTTTCAGTATCATGGGCTGGCTAGAAAATTCAGTTGGAGGGCCAAAATGAAGTTAACAGTTTTTTCTTAAAATAAAAAAAAAAGAACTTTTTCGATGTTTTCGTCTTAGCCTTCTACAGCCTTCTCAGCGCGGCTGGGGCTTTTGCCTCTTCCTCGAGCTTCTCCAGTGTTCCAACTTGGGACGTAAAAGCAAACAAAACCAATTTCAACGACGAGCTCTTTTTTTCGTCTTTAATTTAGTGCTGCAAAACTGGTCCGAAGTTATAAGATTGAGCTCTAATTTGGGGCTCCGGTTTTGATGAATTAATGTCGACGTCGAGGCTCAGTAGAATAGCGCTCTCGGCCGCCCTTAGGGTCTCTCGCTCTAACTTTCGGCCACCGTCAATTTGTCGCGCTGCCCAAATACTCTCTTCTTCTTCCTCAGGTAGCAGTTTCCCTCCTCGCTCTGTCAATGAATTTGGCGGTGTGGAGATTCCAACACCATCATGCTTCAACGACGTCGGTTTGAGCAAAGTGTTCGCTCGCTCTTACTCCACTGTCTCCAGCTCCAGCTCCGGCCAGGTCATCACCTTTTCTTTCTTTTTTTTTTTTTGGGTTTTGTCTAAACAAGAGAAAGGAGAAGTTTGTTCATGCGTATCTCGACACATTGTTGTAAAGAGTACTTTTCCACATTTTGTGGGTAGGAGTCGGATGGATATTTAAATTGTACTCCTTTTGTTTACTGCAAAATTGTTGTTTTGTTTTCTCACTCTTTCATGCAGTGCCGACCTTTCGTCTGGTGCAACATTGTTGATTTGTTGTTCTGTTTTTTCACTCATTCAGGCAGTGCAGCACCGTATTTAGCCGAAAATTGACGTCCTTGAAGCTCGCGAAATTCCATATATGGTTTTAGATTCGATCATGTGTTATGCATCTAAAACACTGTGATTCTCGTCTGGTGCATATTAATTAAATTACTGTATATCGGAACAACAGCACGGAAAGATTTATAGATGCTGGAGTAGCTCTGTTGAAGGAATCATAGATGTCAGTAATCCACTATTCTGTCTTCGAGACTTGTGGTAAGATAATGGGGGGAAAATGGCAAAGAGGAATTATTGATGAAAGAGGCCTTCTCTTTAAGTTGAATGTTGTAGTCATGGCTCCTTTGCTTGTAATATTTCTTCCACCTGCTATTAGTGGGACTTGCAGAAACTCCTTGCTTCTTCTTAGCTAATCACAAACTGTCACACTTAGTTTTCCTATTATTTCTTTTGTGGAGTGTTCCGCTGTTGGAGAAAATTCCTGTTGCACTTTGATATTTATTTGCAAGTTTTTCGTCTCATGCTTGCTTCTAGCTATTATAGATTTGTTCTTATTTGACAGATAAATAATTCAGAGTTCACTGAGATGGCATGGGATGGAGTAGTTGGTGCTGTTGATGCAGCACGAGCCAACAAACAGCAGGTGGTGGAGACTGAGCATCTAATGAAAGCACTGCTAGAGCAGAAGGATGGGTTAGCTAGGAGGATATTCACCAAGGCAGGGCTAGACAATACATCAGTTCTACAAGCTGCAGAGGAGTTTATATCTCAACAGCCTAAGGTATGCCTCCCGCTCTTGATGTCTTTCCTTTAACCGCCTGGCCATAAGTGTATGTTATTGGTAGGTAACAGGTGATACCAGTGGTCCGATACTGGGCTCCAGTCTCAGTTCTCTCTTGGATGCTGCACAAAAGCATAAGAAAGATATGGGGGACTCTTTTGTGTCTGTGGAGCATCTTCTATTATCATTCACTTCCGATAACAGGTTTGGTCAGATGTTATTTAGGAATCTGCAGCTTACTGAGAAAGCTTTGAGGGATGCTGTTACTGCTGTTCGTGGAAGTCAGAGAGTAACTGACCAGAGTATGTACTAAAGTAATTCCAGTTGATGCATATTAACTTGATATCAAAGTTTCAAGTAAGTTGATTAACTTGTTTATGCAAGCTATATTGTGATAACAAAAGCTACTTCATTTATGTTTTAAGAAACGGCAACTTGCCTCATGAGCTTTTAGTTTCATTAGCTGTTGAGGATGCTAATTTTACCTTCCTTTGATTCCCATTAAACTCTTGATACAAGCAATTTCAACTTTGATTTTGATCTGAGCTGGACTCATTTCTGGAAACACTTACAACCGGGCTAATCTGGGCTTTTGTGTATAGACTGGGATAAAATAGGTGCAGGGAATAATCTCTCAAGAACCTTCCTGATACTAGCGCAACAAGTATATTGCTAGAATTATAGGGTTATGAAGTGAAAGGGGAAGTGCTGTAAAACTTTGTTTACCATTGGATATGCATAGCATCAAATCATAGCACTGTATTGGTGAAAAGATAGCCTTCTTGTGTGGTATAAAATCTGGCAGTTGGGAGAGATTATGTTTGTAATAAGAGTTAGCATGAATAAGGATGTTATGATGGGTGCATGTAAAATTTAATCTAAATTATGTATGAGATTACAAGTAGGAAATGAAACAATAGAAATTGGTTAAGAGGTTTATACATATCCCAGAAGAATGTTCAGTGTTTTATGCATGTATTGTAGATAATCAAGTGCAAACTGACAAAGTTAATTTTGCACAAAGGTAGATTTTGTTTTGAGATTAACTGCTGCAGAAAATAATTTAGCAAGATCTAATTAAGAAAGATTGTTTTACAATCATTGTTAGAAAATAATTTTGCGTGTTGTGTACTACCTGCTCATCTGTGTGGGCTAATTTTGTGTAGATCCAGAAGGAAAATATGAAGCACTTGAGAAATATGGCAATGATTTAACAGAACTTGCTAGACGGGGTAAACTTGACCCAGTTATTGGTCGTGATGATGAAATTCGAAGATGTGTGCAGATATTATGTCGCCGAACCAAAAACAACCCTGTTATTATTGGTGAACCTGGGGTGGGGAAAACTGCAATTGCTGAAGGGTATGACCTCTAAAATCTCTATGCTTTTTGTTTACATAAACTTAGTAAATCATTCTTTCTTTTGATAGTGAATGGCACCTGCATTTTGTTGGATTTATTTAGCATGGTATTTCTCATACCCGGTAGTTGTTGTCATCTATTATTTAGTGGTGCATGTTGAGAACTAAACTATATATAGTTATATTATATGTAGCAATGCATGTTGAGTTCATGTACAAGTCCCATGAATTAAACTACATTTAGTCTTGGATTACTTTGTCTGAGGACTAAAAAGAGTGCGAAAAGTGGTGCATGTTCCAAATGCAAGGCCTAAATGTCTAACCTTGCACGTGAAGTGTCTGAATATCTCTTCAAAGGGTAATCATGTGGCAAACAATTTCAATTATCCTTCTAACCTTCTTTCTTTTCAAAACATACCATGGTGCAAAGACAACCATTGACAGAACAAAGTAGAGTGACAGTGCGTTGAAACGAGTTGAAATTACTCTTAGAGGCTTTTATTTCCTTGAGCATTGTTGTTGTTGTCTTTTTTTGTTTCTTTACTGATGCTCGTTTTATCACATTTGTTGAGCTAGCTTTTATCAGAGAATTTTGCTGTCATTCGTAGAATCCAAGTTCAGATTTCCCTTTTTAGCTTGTGAATTGATTGCTGATTTTACAATGTCTAAATCATTTTAGATCTGAGGCTATATTGTGTTATCTTTTCATAACATCATGTTTATCAAAGAGACAACTTCATATTAGAGTCCAGAAGAGTTTGGGTCAAACCTGTCCCCTTTTTTAGTATAGAAGCTAGAATATATGGGAACATATGCTGATGCCCAGGCTAAAAGAGAGTTTTCAACCTAATGCAAAAGTTATATCAAGCTTTAAATCTGCAGCTCTACCGAAAGCACTGTTTCATTCTTTGCTTTCATTGCATTGTAGCGCTTAAGTCTAACGTTAAGGTGATTTAATTATTTTTGCTACAGGTTAGCTCAAAGAATTGTGCGCGGTGATGTTCCAGAACCTTTATTGGATCGCAAGGTTATTATCTTGTTTTTCAGTTTATTCATCTTTCAAGTGTTGATGTGCAATCAATCATGAAGTCAGAAAAGAAAACATAATTTGGTTGTGCTAAGAATATCTGCTTGTTAGTATCTTGAGTTCTTAAATTCTTGATGAATTTGGGAGTAGTTTGATTGATTTTTTTATGTAGCACGTTTAGGATGCAAGTGTACAAGTAAAATACTAGCAATTATGGAAATGCTGTTCTGCGAAATTTATTTGCGGACTCTGCAGTTGTGATTGGAACATATCAGCTGTAAGGTGTGATCAGGTTTACCTTTGAGTCCAATTATTGCTATAACATTGTAGTAATTCTGTGATGTGTTCTTTCTGAGATTTATGGCAAGCCACATGTTTTAAATCCTGAAGTAAGGATCTAATAAAGTTATAGGAGTTTGGATGAAAATTAATATTTTTAGTCATATGTTTACAGAAGCTTGCAAATCTAGGTGATATGTTGTAGGAATTAGTTAAAGTGAGGTTATTGTTTTTAGACATGGAGCTTGTGTGCTGTTATATCTGTGTCTTTAGTTACATTATACCAGATGATTGATTTCTCATAACTGATTACTTTTATCTTTTTGAGTATTTACTGTGATATTATTTCTTGGAACTAGTTTTAGTGAAGCAATTTGCATCTTGTGTATTCTTTTACCCTTTCAGTTGATCTCCTTGGATATGGGTTCATTGCTTGCTGGTGCTAAATTCAGAGGAGATTTTGAAGAAAGGCTTAAAGCTGTTCTGAAGGAAGTCACTGCCTCAAATGGGCAGATAATATTATTTATTGATGAGATACATACTGTAGTTGGTGCAGGTTGGTGTGGGTTTCGGATTTGCAAAGTCAATTGTCTAGATATTTCTTCTGTCGATTTTGTATTCAACATTAATTTTCACAGCTGAAACTTCCTTTAACGAAAAAATAAAAATCTGTTGTAGCCCATGAGCTGTTTTAATGCCAATTACTGAATCTCTGATCTACCAAATTATCTTACTTGTATGCAAGTCTAGAGACAATCGGCTCATTCACCTGAATGTACCTAGTGATTTTCCTATAAGCTGCCATCATGTCTTAGTAATCTCTATAGAACTTTATCCAGTGAAGGCACATGCATTTTAAGATTACTATTTGTGCTTTATTGTTTCTTTCAGAACTATCTTTAGCATAGAATGCACAGTGCCCTGTGAGCAATGATGGTGTCTCATAATGGCTCCATAACTTATTAACTTCACCATATTTTGCTCTTGGAAATATTCACATGTATTGAATATAATGTCCAATTAGATTACTTCTGAGTGCTTGATGATATTACTCATGACAGAGTGTCGCTACAATTTTACTCTTAAATGGTAACAAAAGGTGTAGGTTTTTGTGCATCAGTAGCTATGTCAACACTAATCTACAATATGTTTCCAATTTCAAGCGCTAAAGTTTTAATTTTTCTTTTGAGAGGTTAAGAGTATTATTCACAGCAATTGTATTCCCCATATACAGCCTCCATATGATTACAGCTGAAGTTAATGGAAGGTTCCATATCTCAAGGAATATTCTTCCTACTCCAAGAGAGAACATGAAACAAAATCCTCTGCTTCAAAATCAATGCAGGTTTTTTTAAGCCTTGAAAGCTCTCTTGTTCCTTTCATTCAGGATTAACCGTAGCTGATGCACATTCCCAAGTCTTTATCCATCTCTGATACTGTTAACCTACACTCTTCAACAAAATATAATACATCTAAAACCCTTCTTGGAATGACCCAAAAGCTGATGCACATTTGTCTTAACATGACAAATTTATAAACATGTCCAACTTGACAACAATAATTACATTTTACTATTGGATTGTTTACAAGTGGAATCTTAATAAAACAATAGCCATGCTTTCTATATACAGTAAAACCTCTTCTAACTCGAGTATTTACAACCTTTTTGTTTTCCACACATTTTTTTGTTTTTCCTTACTCAAGATCATTATTAAGTCATCAATTCTTTTCTTTAACATAATATGTTCTTCCTTAGTCTTTTCATAAACTTCTTTCGTCTATCTTCTTTTCTAATTCCTTTCTCTCAGATATGAGATCAACATTAACCTTGCTAACATCATCATTTTCCCTTTTTAATGTCTTATTAAAAAATTTTCCCTGATGCCATGAAGCACACTTGAGCCATGTCATTCTGCTCCTCTAACTTGTCACATTCTTCTCATATAACTCTAATATTTTTTGGTCCTAGTTCTTGTTTCCACCTTTATCTCTTTTTTCTTTCTATTTGGACACCACAAGAAGAATTGTATTTCAGTTTTTCCAGAGCTTTTTCTCTCCAAATAGCCTGTTATGTAAAACTTCTTTCCTCTCCTCCAAATACCACACTTTAGAAGGACTGTAAATTGAGATTTTCATTATTTTTACCAGTTGGGTTCCAATATATTCTCCTGGCTTCTACTATAGGTTGAGTTGTATAGTCTAGTGATCATGTCCTGAGAGGATTTTAACTGCCTGTGTTTTAAAGATCTTCTAAACTTTTGTTCACAGTGTGAATTTCATGCAATTGATAATTTACGGTGGATGTCAGATGTAAGTGGAGTCAGAGGTTATAAGTTGCACGTGTTTCGACGTGTGATAGATACTTCAACCTGCTTGTTCCAAAAATCTATCTAGGCCATTTAACTCCCACTAGAAGAAGGCCTTTCTACATCAGTGTTGGGTGTATGCTAAATTTCAAAGCATATATAGATATTTATGGCGCCATTTCTTAGTTCTCTCCTCCATCTTTTCTTCCTTGAATTTGGGGTCGTTAGCTTTGTAATAAGCTTTGTGGCATTGCTCTTTCTTCATGGTTCTTAACCATTTTCCTTACCTTCAATCCAGGGGCTGTTGCTGGAGCTTTGGATGCTGGAAACTTGTTAAAGCCAATGCTTGGTCGTGGTGAGCTCAGGTGCATTGGAGCAACCACATTGAATGAATACAGGAAGTACATTGAGAAGGACCCTGCTCTAGAACGTAGGTTCCAACAAGTATTTTGTGGTGAGCCATCTGTAGAAGATACTATCTCCATCCTTCGTGGATTGCGTGAGCGGTATGAGCTGCATCATGGGGTCAAGATTTCTGACAGTGCACTTGTGTCAGCGGCAGTCCTGGCACATCGTTATATAACAGAGCGTTTTCTGCCAGACAAAGGTAGGATATATCTGTCTTATTCCAGGTTTTTAGCTGAATAAACTTCTAGGGCCTATTTGACTACTACATGAGTGAGAGGATTGTGAGAAATGAGGCCAAGAGCAGATGATGTTAGGAACAATCAACACGAGAATTCCAATAAGACTAATGCTCCTAAAGGCGTAAGAGGACAAAAGGATGCACCTCCTACACAAAACAAACTGTGAGAAGATAATAACTTCCAACCGATGTACTAGTTTCTTTTCAGTGCTGCATACCACATTAGATGGTTTTTTTTCCTACTTTTTCTCTTAGTTTTGAATAGTTTTTCCTACTTTTATACTTACTTTTGAAAAGCAACTGTTAAAGCTTCTTGGTTTGGTGTGGGCGATCGTTACTGACATGTTGATCAACCTGCAGTAGAAGGTCTTGAGATGGAGAAGGGTTTAGCTTGATTCTGCATGCTTTTGCTTCAAATGAGGTCCAATGTTTATAGTTTTAGAAGCTTTTACATTCCTTTGTCACTGCTTGCAGTGCATGTTTGGGGGAATGGTTTTTGGGGAGAATAGGTTATCTCAGCATCCATAATCAAGCAAAATTGGGTTTTTGGTTGTAATTGTCCTTAGAATTCAACAGTATGCCTCGTGTGCTTTGTCCTGTCGGAGTCAAAATTTTTGGAGTGACTATTAGTAGTTTGGGATTTGGTCAGTTATCTCAATGCAGAGTAGTTAAAAGAGCAAAAATGTACAATACTTGTACTTGGATGCATAGAGTTACATGGGGAATAGGAATGAAATCTTTCAGTGGCTACTGGAAGCCTTAAAATTGTGGTTGCTTGCCACAAAAAGTTTGGGAAAGGGACAACAATTAGTTTCTTTCTCATGTGCTTTTGGAGGTCTGATTTTTAGGCAAGTTACCTTTCGTACACTATGGTGAATGCTGCTGGAAACGTACAAAATAAAATGGTAGCAACTACCTTTCTCTATCCATCTTATTTCAAACTGGCTGCATATATTCCCAAATATGCCAAATTAACAGATCAGTCAAATTCCGACAAACGTTATTGTTTTTTTTTCCACTTCTGCTTAAACATATTATTTAATTTATCACATTGTTCAAGTTACTCTAGTGGCAACTCTTGGGAGGCTGATGTCATTGTTTGCTGTAATTTGATTGAGATGAGTCCATTTCATCAAGAACCAAAAGAGCAAGTACAAGTGTTTTTGTCTGGAATCGATGTGGAGAACAATCTTTATTTCATGGGTGTCTAGATTGTTCATATGTGCACTCATTATGACTTGACGGATCTAGTAGAGTATTTTCCTCATGCTATCAACTATCTTATTTTTTATAAATTGCTTCCAGTTTATGTACCTTCTTTCTACCTTTTTCAGCCATTGACCTAGTTGATGAAGCTGCTGCAAAATTGAAAATGGAGATCACTTCGAAGCCCACAGAGTTGGATGAGATAGATAGGGCTGTTATGAAGCTAGAGATGGAGAAACTCTCTCTCAAAAATGACACCGACAAATTATCTAAAGAACGGTTAAGCAAGATTGAGAACGATTTGACATCTCTTAAGCAGAAACAAAGACAGTTGAATGAACAGTGGGAGAGTGAAAAAGTTCTTATGAATAGAATACGCTCAATTAAGGAGGAGGTGGATTTGTCTGTTTAGATTTTTTTTTTTTGTGATACTGTTTATCTTATGTTCTACTTGCTCATTATATAATTTTTCTTCAACCATTTTTGTGTAGATTGACAGAGTTAACCTTGAAATGGAAGCTGCTGAGCGAGATTATGACCTGAATCGTGCTGCTGAACTCAAATATGGGACACTGATGTCCCTCCAGCGCCAACTTGAAGAAGCTGAGAAGAACCTTGCTGACTATCGGAACTCTGAACAATCTTTGCTCCGGGAAGAAGTGACAGATCTTGATATTACCGAAATTGTTAGCAAATGGACTGGCATCCCATTATCAAATCTTCAGCAGTCTGAGAGGGATAAGCTTGTCTCTTTGGAACAGGAACTTCACAAAAGGGTAGTTGGTCAGGATATGGCTGTCAAATCTGTAGCTGATGCAATCAGGCGCTCAAGGGCTGGCCTGTCCGACCCAAATCGGCCTATTGCAAGCTTCATGTTTATGGGTCCCACAGGTGTTGGTAAAACCGAGCTTGCAAAGGCACTTGCTGGTTACCTATTCAATACTGAAAATGCTCTGGTGCGGATAGATATGAGTGAATACATGGAGAAACATGCAGTCTCTCGATTGGTTGGTGCACCACCGGGGTATGTGGGTTATGAAGAAGGTGGGCAACTCACTGAAGTGGTCCGTCGTAGGCCTTATTCAGTTGTGCTTTTTGATGAAATTGAGAAGGCACATCATGATGTTTTTAACATTCTATTACAGTTGTTGGATGATGGAAGAATCACCGATTCCCAGGGAAAAACTGTTAGTTTCAGAAATACTGTTGTGATTATGACATCAAATATTGGTTCTCACTATATCCTTGAAACTCTTAGAAACACGGAGAACAGTAAAGAGGCAGTTTATGATCTGATGAAAAAGCAGGTGGTTGAGTTGGCTAGACAAACTTTTAGGCCGGAATTTATGAATCGAATTGATGAGTACATTGTTTTCCAACCTCTGGATTCCAAACAAATCTGCAAAATTGTTGAACTACAGGTACTGAGTCTTTTGTGATCAAATGTTTTGATGTCTCTCTCTCTCTCTCTCTCTCTTTATTTTTTTGTGGACTCTCTCAAGACTTACACCTTGTGACATTATTGCTTGGTATAGGTACACTGAGATCGGTTTGTTAATTTATAAACGTTGGTTGCATGTTTGAGGTTATGAACTTGTAGAATAGGCATTAGAATAGAGATCGCCCTAATACCATAGATAGTTATTAACATTTTGAAAAAGATGATGTTTAACAGATTCTTTAGCAATAGGGCATCAACCTTTGATGAACATATTATTCTGATAATGCCTGGATCCTAATGATAAAGGACTATGTTTTTCAACATAATTTTCTTTCTCTACTTATTTCACTTTGCTGCATATCATATGACATGAGTACTGAATCTACCTTGTCACAGCACTTGGTGTCTTCCATAAACAAGTCTCGCCCTTTGGATTTATTTTAGCTTTAGTTAAAGTGAATGGTATCGGCATGATTTATAAGAATTGGATGGGTTGTACTTTCAATTTTTTTTGTTTAGCATTGTGTTCTCAGAACTACTGTTGTCATGATGTAATTTTTAATTCTATGAAGTTAACAAGTTTTATCCCTTTTTTCCAGATTAGAAAAGGTAGAGCAATGTAAATGAAGAATCAGAGAAAACACCTAGTTAAATTGCTATGTCCTTGAAACAATTTAGCATGGAAGAGGAAATATGGGAACGAAATATCCTTTTGGGGATTGGTTAGATTGAAAGCTTAGTTATCCACACAAATTCTCAATGAGCTTCATTGCCTTTTTGAAAGGGGATGTCCATGTTAATTTTTTAAAGGCAGAATAACTTAGCAAAATTTACTGTTTACTCCGCATCTGACAGTTAATGTCTGTCCTAGCAACATTCCTCCATTGAAAGTTGAGGTTGAGTTGAAACTTTTAATGTTTGTGATGGAAAATAAATAGTAAAAGCAACTTATTGTTGTAAAATGAGAATATATTTGACTTCAGGCTAAGAACAAGTGAAGTCTACTCTGGACACCAATGCTGAGATTAGTACCAATTAATTCTGTTCAGAAAGATTGAATGTTACTATGACTGTTTGGGATTTTATAGTTGCACAAATGCAGTAAGTTTCTTGTCAGCTGTATTTGGTTTGATGGTCACACTACTGCAATCCAAATTATATGAACGCATAGATATATCCCTTTCCTGGATGTAGAATTTGGCCTATTTGACCTGATTGTCCTTTGTAAGCATTGGGTCATGCTTTATTTTCTGCATAGAGCTCCTTTTTTTTCCAGTTTTTTCAGTTGTTCACTGAATAGTGATTACCTTATTTTTTTGGGTTCATTTTGGGCACTTTGATGATTTGATTCCCTTCCTGTTAAGCCTGTATCACTGCAGTATCCTTAACCTCTCAATATCGCCAATTTAGTCCCTTATCTATTCAAAAGGCGTCAATTTAGTCCACAATTTCTCACTAAACTTACCGGATGGCGTGACTTGTGAGATACATGGCATATCATTTTAGTTCCTTTCAAGTATAACTTGATTTATTATTCTGTTTATGATCTTTACTACAGCATGTGAGTTGGAAAAACTCGTGTATGTTGTACAATCTCATATCTGCTGATCATTTTTAAGGTGCAGAACTCTTGAGTCCTATCAACTAAATTCACTACATTGCACATCCCGACATCAAATTTGATGTCAAGGCTTTAAGCTAATTTCCATAATGTAAAATTAGGATGAACTCTTGTAACGTTTGATTGTGTTGATATAATCTTTTCAGACGCACAACTGACTGAAAAAGTGTGTCAAATGTTCCTGGACCAGGAAGTTTTATCATGTTTCCTGCGCTCTTTACTCCAAGCATTTTGAAGACATTGATTTTCGCTTTTGCAGATGAGTCGTGTTAAGGAGAGACTCAAACTGAAAAAAATTGACCTCCATTACACTCAGGAAGCAGTCAATCTTCTGGCGACACTGGGTTTCGATCCTAATTTTGGAGCTCGCCCTGTGAAGCGGGTGATTCAGCAATTGGTTGAGAATGAAATTGCTATGGAAATTTTAAGGGGAGATCTAAAGGAGGAGAACTCAATCATTGTCGATGCTGATACATCCTCGAGGGCTCGAGATCTTCCACCTCAGAGTAGATTAGTAATAACGAAAATGGGAAATAATACTGCAATAGATGCCATGGTTGCAAATGACTGACTTTTTCTTTCTATTGAGGAGGCATGCACGCACTTTTCTGAACCAAAACTGGAGTTGATCACGCGAGATAAAAAGTGGGGAGGAGGTTCTTGCGAGTTCGTGCATTAAGTTGCTGCTGCTTGTGCGTTTGCAGTTTTTATTACAAGGGCAAGTCTTGAGGATACTGCGATAATTTTGGATGAATATATATTTCTCGATGATTAGTGAAGAGTGAGATCCTCCTATTTTATTGAGTAATGAGTTGGGATGTAATTCTTACTTAGTTGGAGAGCTTAATTGAGATTTAGGGTGCAAAATTGAATTTTGAAATCTAAAATTTGAGTTAATTAAGTTATTAAATTTTTAAGTATTTGAGTATATATTACATTCAGAGTTAAGTAAATAATATTTTATTTTATTTTATTTTTTAGAGCAATTTTTACTTAGAAAATTCAATGATACTTAAATAATTCAGATATTCAATTTTTAGTTATCAAATGCGTTTGAATATGTTAAAATTTAAATGTATTAAGTTTAAGTGTTAAATTAATTTATTAAACAGGGTCTTAATCACTCTAGAGGGCTGAATTGATAATTTGGTCCATTCTAGGGGGCTGAATTGAACTTCACCCCAGTGATTATTTGCCAGTTGCCTGCCACATTATTATTAGTTTATTACTAGCACTGTTTTTATTAATTTTTTACGCGCTCACACTCCCCCCCCCCCCCCCCCCCTCCGCCCCAAAAAAAAAAAAATGAAAATAGTTTTTTTATGCTTCCGAGATTTTATTTAATCTAAGTCTGTTACCCCAGTGAAGCAGAGGGGTACTTACTTCACTCGACTAGCTTCTCAAATGTCAGTGTGGGTGTGGGTGTGTGCGTGTGCGTGTGCGTGTCTCAATCATGGAAGCATACAAACTGTAGCATGGTCGTACTTACAAGAAGAAGGGGACCGACAACGTAAGAAAAGCCAGCCAAGATAGAAGAGGAAGTTCATGGAAAAGGAATAGAATCGTTTTTACTACATACTTGTTGCGCGTATTTCAGTTTGAGGTTTCGAGGAGAGGTGCGGTTTCTTTCACAGCGGTAAAATGCAGAAATAATACTCGATCCAGGAAGAAGAGTGGGACTAAGTATCCAACATCCATCTCTGGGGAAATCAAATTAATTTCAACTCTCAAGTAAGGATGGCGGATACTGCTAGTAATTAATTAATGGGGAAGTTGCACGGGAACAACCTCGGATCCGTGGTGCTGGACCACCCGACTCCCGGTGGAGGGCGTCAGTTTAAGATTTGGTCAGCCTCATTCCGCCGCATTATACTGGACACAGTTCGGTGCGGGACGCGGCAGCATCATAAGCACGACAACACTGGCAAATTAACCATCCAAGAGCCCAAGCCCGAGCCCGGCATTGATCTCACTGCAGTCACAACACTGAGATCTGAGTTGAGTAAAGGTAGTACTAGCAGTGGTAGGAGTGGGACTAAGTATCCAACAAACACACCGCCCTCCGGATCCGACAAGTTATCAGACCTTCTGAAGCTATCGGAAAAGGAAAACGAACCGGACGAGGAGGAGGCGGAGGCTGTGAAGAGGAAAGTGGAGGCACTGGAGGAATTGAAGACAGTGGTGAAGAATCTCCAAAGTAGCAGTAGCGGTAGCAGCAGCCAACAACTCCAGGAAAATGAAAACCATGGCTTCTTAGCTCCAGATGTTCGCGCGTTGGAGGCAGCCAAGGAGGTCAGAAGGCTCGCTAAAGGCGATTCTCAAGCCAGAACCACTCTTGCTTTGCTCGGAGCAATCCCCCCGCTCGTGGCTTTGCTGGACGCCCCCCCCCTGCCTCCGGATGTCTGCCCCAAAATTCCTGCTCTTTATGCTTTGCTCAACCTCGGCATTGGCAACGACGCGTGAGCATCCCCCCACCCCACCCCGTTCTCTCTTCTCTCTTTGCTAATTCCTTCCTATATACTAAGTAGTAAGTAAATTTGACGTGCTAAACAACTTCAATGCTACTATCAGCATCTTTCGCCCCCCAAACAAAGAAAACCCGAAACTTTGCAATTCTACTTGTAGTACTTATTCATGTTTGTTCTCTCCGGACTGTTTGTTTCTGTTTTCTTTTCTTTTGTTTTTTTTTTAAAAAAAATAAAATTTCTAGTCCAACTTCTTTCAGGATTCAAAACTCTCTTATCTTTTTTGAATTTTGTTTCTTTTTTTTTTTTTGCGCACTGCAAAGAAAAGGGTAAGTAAATTTGGTCCTCTGTATATTCTTCTACAACTACTACTACTACTACTCTGTAATCACCAATATGACAAATAAACACCACCAAATAGGGGAGCAAAAAAAAAAAAAAGAAGTCCTTACACCGACCAATAGATATACTTGCTTGTTACAATGTGTTTTCTGTGAATCCGATATTTTGCTGCGAAATGGGCTCAATTTCTTGCTCTTTGATGGTTTAAGATTTGTTGGTGGATATATTTTGTAATTATTCGGCTCTCTCTCTCTCTCTCTCTTTCTTTTCTTTTTCATGAGTTCTGGGATTCAATTCTCTTTTCAAGACACTTTTTTCTCCAGGAACAAAGCAGCCATCGTTAAATCGGGGGCTGTTCACAAGATGCTGAAGCTCATCGAATCTGAAAATGGTCCTCATGCCACAGCTGTTGCCGAGGCTATAGTTGCAAACTTTCTCTCTTTGACTGCACTCGATGCAAATAAGCTGATTATTGGTTCTTCTGGTGCAATACCATTTCTGATAAGAATCCTGAGAGAGGATACTGATGATCATGAAAAGAATGGTTCTCAAGCAAAGCAGGATGCCTTGCGAGCGCTGTATAATCTATCAATTTCACCGTTGAACCTCTCACTGTTGCTAGATGCTCATCTGGTGCCCTGTCTCTTGAGCAGGCTAGGAGATATGGATTTCAGTGAAAGAATCCTCTCAATTCTGAGCAATTTAGTATCGATACCAGAGGGGCGAAAGGCAGTAAGCTGTGTGCCGGATGCATTTCCAATGCTAATTGACGTATTGAATTGGACGGATTCTCCAGGTTGCCAAGAGAGGGGGTCATATGTTTTGATGGTGATGGCTCACAAATCATATGGAGATAGACAGGCCATGATAGAGGCTGGAATAACTTCATCCCTTCTAGAACTAACTCTTTTAGGTACCACGTTGGCGCAGAAGAGAGCTTCCCGGATCTTGGAGTGCTTAACTGTGGATAAAGGGAAGCAGATTTCTGAGAGCTATGGTGGTGGATTAAACCCAACATTGTCAGCTCCTCTTTGTGCTGCCAAATCGTCGCCGTCATGTGCAGACCAAAGTCATCAGTCGGAGGAGTCTTTAGAGGAGGAAGATCAGATGTTGAGTGAAGAGAGGAAAGCAGTCAAGCTATTAGTCCAGCAAAGCTTGCAGAACAACATGAAAAGAATAGTTAGAAGGGCTAATTTGCCACATGATTTTGTCCCTTCAGATCATTTTATGTCCCTTACATGGGGTTCAACATCTAAGAGCTTACCCTTTTAGTTTTCAATAGACCTGTCTGTCTATGCTCAAAAATGTGCATATGGCTGCATGTATGTATTTATATAGCATCAAGTCTCTTCTTGTAGCAACGGTTCTCCATCATTTTTGCTTGATTAGAATAAAGTTGAGTGATTCCTAGCATTCAATTATTCTGACATCACAAGACCCACCATCTGCTTCAAAATGAGAAGTAGAAACTTTAGAGGCTGTTAGATGTTAATCTTGTAATGTGGATTTCTTGTTATCTTTGGAGTCCTCAGTATAATCACACCCGTCCACTGTTCGAACTTCTTATGGGTTACGCAAGGAGAGACAATCTTTGATCTAAAAGAAAAAGTCTGTAATGCCATTTACATGACTCTATCTAATCTCCCAGGAAGTTTAGGCTAGTGAATTATATTCTGGCCAACTGTTAAACTCCTAAATTTTTAAGGAAATCAGTGATTCCCTCTCTGCAAACTCAGTGATAGAGGAGGCAGACATTTTTCCAATGTGTGGAACTTAATTTGGAATTGAGATTAGCAGGGCATTTTTTGAATCAGATTTCACATGAGCAAGATATTGTTTGGTAAAATGCACTGAGCTCTTGTCTTGCAGAAGCCGAGGCTAAATCGGCAGCGATATGAAGGCAACTTGAGCTTGTGGTCCGGTCCTGACCCCTGATTAAGAAATCATGGCGAAGCCGTCAAAATTCTTCAGCGGGGCACTTTTTTTTTTTTTTTTTTTTTTTCTCTTGAATTGCACCTAAGAAATTGTTATCGTTTTCGTATCTCACACAATGTTACTGTTAGATTTATAATTGGCAGCATGCCACCAGAATTCTAACTTCAAATTAAGAAAAATTCCATCACATAATTGATAATACTACAACTTTCATGGTTATTATGCAATATTACTATTCATGACCATGACAAAAGAGACACAACAACAAATGCCACCTTGTGCATTTAGTCCTACTTTGAATTCTATTAACATTTATAGAATGTAGTCAGTTTTGATCCCCTATTAGGAAATAAAAAATTTAAAATTTTGTCTCCTTTAAATAGTTTTGATCAATTCCACAGATATAAACATTCAAGAGAGTTAATGACAACACTTGTATGCAAAAACCTCACAAAATTACTTGATTAGTGATTACACACTTGAAGTTATGCAAGTGTTTAGTCTCTAATAGTGTCCACCCAAACATTTATCGAGGAATCCTCCAAAAATTGAATTAATGAGTTCTAACTCTTATGAATTTATTCAGCTAAATAAATGAAGAATATATCAGAGCCAGAGGGAAAAAAAAAAAAAAAACTAGGGAAGACATGACAAAAAAAAAAAAAAAGTCGGATTTAATAAGAAGCAAACAAGTCAAGTCAATTACCTTAAGATGAATTTATCTAATAAGCTAGTCCACAAGTATTTTATTTGTATCTTTCAAGTCCTACTTGGATTCATTTTAACTAATGAAGAATGTTTTTAATATCTGTGACCTATTAAATTCTTAAACATGTTAGTAATAAACTTCTATTTTTACAACTCTTTAAAGAATTTAGATACACTAAACACCGTTAACATATCACTAGTTCAACTAATGAATCAATTCCTATTGAAGAGCCTATGATTTTTAATCCTTTAATTGATGATTAACAAACAAATGATGAAGTGTAAAAGAGCTCACAAGTCTTAATCTCTCATGCATTGAACTACTAAGAACATTAAATCTATATCCACACTATTGAGAGTGTAAAGCAGCTTTCATTATACAACCTACACTTCAAAAGTGTCCCCAGTAGTAATTTATGAGTTTTGTGAAATTTCTCTTAGAGGAGAGCGAAAGTTTTCCGGAAAAGGTGATTGATCCTTACAATATAATAGGTTGTTGCCTCACTTTTAAAAGAAGCATTTAGTGGAGAAACATCAAAATTAGGAAAACTGGAAAGTAGACGTGGGCATAAAGAAAGGTGGCTGAATGATTCAATCATTCAAGAATGCATTCTTAATTTCTTAAACTTTGGAATTATTCTGCCATATCATTTAAGTAAATTATTAGAGTCTATTTCATCATTTATTTCATTAATCATCAAAACTAGAGGATGGACGATTTTGAAGTCTCCAGCTTCTTTCGAAAAAAGCAAATAAGTAGCAGACCCAAGAGTGTTATATCATGTTTCATTTGCCTAGTATACTCCTCGAGTCCAAAATCCGGCTAAAGAGCAACCCAATCAAGTCAGCAACATCATAGGACCGCGTTTCTTTGCCCACTACCATTGTTGTTTATCTATTTAACTGGCTTATAATTAGCAAGGCTAAAATGACCCCAACTTAACCCATTTCAACCAATGAATCTCAAGGTTTCGTCCAACATCGAGATCCTAGGCAAACATGCTAATCTGCGAACAATACTGAAAGCTTCTTATAGCATGATCCAAGCATCGCAACTTAAGCCTTCAAGTAGATTATATCTAACAAACAATAACACGACACTAACCAAAAGAAGTCCTGACTGAACAACAAAATAAATTTAACTCCTACGACCTCCTTTTATCTAAACTGCCTAATGGAAGCAAATGAAGCCAATGATTCAGGATTACATCTGACAAGAGTATAATAGACATGACTCTCAGACATCCAGCTCCAGAACGACGATGCAATGCATCAGAAGGAACTGAGCAGATGTAGCAACATGAAACATATCCTAGCCTGCTCTCCGTCGCTTCTTCACGCTTTGATTTTTTTCTTGGACCTTAGACGCTTCTGACGATTTGACTTTTACCCCTTCAGGTGTTTTTAGCACATCAGTAGACTTATCTTTGGATCTTTCTTTCAAATCCTCGGTCTCTTTCATCTTTGAAGAGCTATGTTTTATCTTTCCCGTTCCATTTGCACTACCATCACCACCAGCTTGGGGGGTCTTACTTTTGGACTTTATACCAGTCTTCGGAGTGTCTTGCTTCGACATGCTACCAGTCTTTGGAATGTCTTGCTTGGATTTGGCTTTGGGTGTGCTAGTATCAACATCTTTAGATTTGACAGATGTTTTTGTGAAATCATCAGGATGTTTATCACCAGTTCTTTGAGATTTAGCTTTACCAGTGCTGTCATCCTCACTCTTAGCTACAGACTTTGTGGTCCTATCTTTCAACTTCTGGTCATCCTCAGTTTTATGACCAGATTTTGTTGCAGTTCCTTTTGCCTTGCCAGATGAAGCAGCTCCACTGCAGGTGACAGTTCAAAACCTTCTCTTAATTGCTTTCCTAGTAAACTCAAAATACCAATAAGCCAAAAAAGTTCATTTTACAGCATCTTATATATATGCACACAGTGTGTGCAAGCATGTGCCTAACTACGAACCTTTTAGGTGAGACCTCTTTCTTCCCCGGCTTAATGGATGATTCAGGATTTCTTCTACCTTTCTTCCTCCTTTGCCTGGTTCAAGGAAGCAGATTACAAGGCAATAAACATTTACATACAGCAGCATGCAGTTCCAAGCAACAATTATGGACATCACAGATTCATACGAAGAGAAACTCGCAAGAATTAATTAACTTCCTTTTGGACCCAAAAAAAAAATGTCCGCCAAAAGTCATTATTTGTTTGGTTTGTGATACTGCACCAAGGTAATATCACAATTGGAAAGTCTTTAGCTGAAATGAGTCATTTATCAAGGCACCTTGAGATTAAAAAGAAAGGCCCAAAAGTTAGCATGCAAGAAAGTAAAAGATGCTGAAACCCAATGATACTTGTCATCCTTGATAAGATGTGGGTAAAATGATGCGTGTTAGGTTATGGCTGAATTGCACAGGGAATGAACAACATGCCAGGACCCTCAAACGCCCAATCGATCTTTTACTATCATTTCCAATATATCTCTACAAGTTGAATGCAGAATTTAAGGAAAACATTAGTACATGCACATGGGTTTTGTGTGTGTGTGTGTGTGTGTGTTAGCAATCACATGTATTTGCTTCCGCATACGCAGACCACGCATATACTATAGACTTTACAGAAAATAACATATCTACACACAGATTAGATGTCAACAGTTCACTCTCTGAAAGATGTACAAGTGCAAGGGAAACGAAGTATACATTCCAGATGCAGTATCAGGGATTGCTGTTTCAGCTCCTTGCTCCTGTAACAAGATGTTAACTCTTTTTTATTACTTCAAAGCAAATTGACAAGCAAGCAAGCACGAAAAATAGAACATCCAAAGTAACTCACTTCAGAAGAAACTGAACCATCATCAACCAATTCCCATCGTTCTTTCTTAAGGTTCAAAATTTCCTCATCACCATCATTGTAGGCAACCTTTCACGAAAATAAGCAATTTGACACAACTCAGCAGAATTCTTACACGAGAACAAAAGAAATGAAGCAAAGCAGCAGTCAGCCTTCACCAACCTTATGCTTTTTCTTTGCAGAATCAAAAGAATGAATAACACCTTCATAAAACCTGAAAATTGAAACGCATTATCAGTCATCTTCATCTTCAATCTGGCACATCTGTTAGACAAAGAACTCAGCAACTCTTCATATAAATCAAGAAGGCCAGATGGACAATGTGCTTAAAGAATTTTCAAGACATCAATAACAGCACACTAGCTGACTATCGCTTTTTCCATGGCAACCTAGCTTAAAGTGAGAGAGGGCAAACTAGAAAGCGAAAAACTTACTGACGATCGTGAGGCCACCAAACCTTAACCTTTAAACCCACCAAGTTACTACCATACTCGACATCTGCAGTTCCCTGACAAAAAAAAGAGCAGCAAAAAAATTAGGTGTTCTTGCATTCACAGCACAATTAAAAAACATTTCTTATTGGCCTGCAGTTGGTTTGTACTCAACCAGCATTCCAATCATTGGCAAGGATTCATGCTTAGATTCTTTTGAACATTATACAACATTAAAAATATCCAGTGCTTATCAAACTTAAACATCACTTTCTGTTCACATAAAGAAACAATGGCAGAGAGAGGAGGAAAATTCAATCATTGTGACCCAACAAGCGACTTCATAGACATGGGGGTGGAAGAGGAAAGAAGCAAGTAGCAGAAGCAGAAACCAGCCAAGCATTCGGCACAACTAATGCTGACATTTCAGAAAAAGGATGTAACATCTCAACTAGGATGCAGTTCATGATGAACAATTAAGAGGAGGCAAATTTGGGGAACATGATAAAGGACTGTTTCGCATTTAATTTTGCAAAAGACACATGATGTAAAAGGATAAAATTCCAGGTCATGTAAGAGAAGATGAAGGGGTTTAAGATTTTACTTACTTTGTCTTTGCTTGCTGTACGCTTCCTCTTGGTACTCATCCTAACTGTTTCTTCAGAAGAACCTTCATCTTTTGCTGATCTTGTAGGAGACTTGTGTGTCTGCTGCTAAGGACACGAAAATTTTCATGTCACACTCTGCAGGAATAAATCTTCCAGTAACAGAAAATCAAACATTACATTAAGCTACATCCTAGAAGAAAAATAAATTACCTTCAGATCATCTTTAGCGGAGGTCTTAGTCCCTTCATTCTCTGAGGCAGCTTTTCCACGCACACGCTTTTTGCTTTCTCCATTCCTCTTTAATGAATATCCATCCCCAGCATTACTACTTTCATCAACTTTCTTTCTTGCTTGCTTCATCTGTTTTGTCTCTGAATCGCTTTTACCCCCACCTCCATCTTCAGAGGTATCTACATCAGCTGACATCTTGTCTTCATTATCAGTGTCTACAGGTGCTTTTTTCCCCAGGCGTCTATGTGGTTTTGCTTCTGAGTCATTTCTTCCTTCAGATGCCTTTTTTGAGACATCTGAAGAAAGTGTCTCTTGTTGAATTGAGATCTCTTTCTTCTTTAGCCGACTAGCCTTTTTTGGACGAACCGCATCATCTAGGCTCCCACTAAGGGACGCAGAAGCAGTGTTTGCATCCTCAGTCTCTGATGTCTTGGGAGAAGAAGGCTTTGCAACAATGTCTCTATCTAAAGATTTGGAAGTCTCAGCAGAGAGTTCCTCCCTAGGAGAACCACGCAAATCTTTTTCACGGCTGTCTTGTAAATCTGGTAGCTTCTCAACTTCCTTCTCACCATCAATATGAGACGTATCAGAAGATTCCGATACATTAATTGAAGGGCTGGGCTTCCTTTCTCTTTTCATGGCAGCATCTTCCAGCTTAGACTCCAACATGACTGACTCCCGAGTCTCTGAATCAGCAATTTCAGGCTTCATAGCTACCTTGTCAGCCGAGGGTTCGTCTTCAAGGTCATGCTCCTTGACATTTACCGAAGATTGTGCTCCTATAACTGTCCCTTTGTTGTCATTCCCCAAGTCATCACCACCATTAAGCATTATTGACTTGGGAGACCTATTGACATCATGATCTGCATCCCCGGAGTATGCTTCATTAACATCCTTTGCCACCTAACAGACAAAGCTGAGTTCAGATTCTTGAGAAGTATAAGCTCGGATGAAATCAGCACACAATGTTTTGTGACACTACACCAAATAACGCAGTCAACGAATCAAAAGCAACTCATGCTTGAACTTCCAAAATGTTGAGGCAATTTTTCCCCAAAAAACAGTTCACAAGATCAGATGGAAAACCAGCGTGGGAAGTTTGAACTGAAGTCGTTTTGTTTTCCAATCCACTACTACTTTCAGTCCTGAAACAAAACGCCTACCTTCCAGGCATCAGGAAGCAGGTCTTTCTCTACAGATCGCGCTCCTACTCTCGATCTCTCTTACAGACAAACTTATGGGTTCCTCTATCTCCCCTCTAACACACGACTCTGTGCATTCCTCTCTCTCTCTCTCTCTCATACACATCAATAGTGGAATACAAACTCCCAGAACAACTTCTGCATTGGTCGCAGATCTCCAAATGGGCAGAGTTTTGTTGAGGTTATAGAAAAGAAATTTCTTGTCTACTCGAGGTATCTGTTTCAAGTCTAATTTCCTCAAGGTTATAGAATTCTAATAACTGTTTCCCGCTTAAACTTCACTTTTGACGTCCCCAACAAGGCAACCAGTAATTTTCTACACGCCAACACATATAAGACGAGCACAAGGAAAAGAGGTGCCTTATCTGAGGAGGATGCAAGCAGACTGCCCTCATCAGCGTAGACAATGTGCATTATAGAAAGTGAATTTACATCCAAAGAAAAGAGATACAAAACTAGAAAAACTCTAAAATCTAAGTCATCTCCCTTAGTTGTTGGGGACACATCTGTAGACGCCTTAGCTAATTTTCCTCCAAATTCTTGAATATCTAAACAAAGTCAGGAGCAAGCATTTTTCCACCATATATTTTAGCATATATCAGGAAGAAAATAGTGATTTGAATTCATATGGCCCATCAGATAATATAGAAATATTACACATCATCAAGAAATGGCGATCAGGTTGAAACATGTAATGATTGAACCATGAAGGCCTTGTAAACATTGAGAAACAGTTTGACATGGACAAATCACACACTGTTCTTACCTATTATCAACTAAACAATTGACTGCAATGATTGCAATAATACAGCAAGAGAAATAAAGTAGATGACATCTACGTGATGCCAGCTGCAAAATAAAAGCAAAACCAAGAAACACCTTGTCACAGACAAGCATGGCAGTTACTGTATGCAGTATACCAGATAAAGGATAACGGCTGTAGCCTTGTCCAAACAAGAAATAGGCCCAAATTACATTTATGTGATAAAAAGCAACAGAATTGAAATGGAAAATAACAAGGAAAAGCTTTCTGTTATGCGAGCATTCTAAAACTCATAACACAGAACAAGATACAGCTTTATGTGACAAATAACAAATTACCAGTCAAAGACGAAAAAGAACCTTCTAGCAGATTACCAAAAAGTATAAATTAATAGGTTGGCATGCATACCTGTTGCTCTGTAGAGGCATTTTCATTGGTATGCTCAGTTGAAGATGGCCCTTCACATATAGCAGTAACAACTTCACTGTAATCATCCAAAGAACAACCCAAAGATTGTACGGCTTGACTAAGGTAAGGTTTAAGCTTAACTGCACAATTTTCAAATACTTTCTCTGCCAATTTCATAGCAACAGGGAGGACTTCCTGAGCAACACAAAAGTGGCAAGAAAGCATAATAAGTGACAATGATCACTAAGCATTAATATAAACAACAAATTAGCAAAATAAAGAAGAAGCCATCTCAAACCCAGGTTCACCTGATTGTCCTTTTTCACATTAGCCAACAGCAGGTTGAGTATCTCAGAGGAAATATCTTCACTTTCTTCTAATACAAGAGTCATAATTGTCTCCATCGATGAGAAGATATTTTCAGGGTGATAGTCACTGAAAGTCATTCAAAAAGAAAAAACGTAGAAATTAAAAAGTCTTGGACTGTAGAGGGGCAACCAAGACATAGCATTGGATAGACACAGCACTTAAAGTCTAGCTATGTAACAGCAGAAAATATGATGGATACATGACCACATTGTATTTGCATATGGCATTTCATAACTAAAAGAAATGCAGGGAGAGAGCAGTTGAGCTGATACCGTATAGCCCCAAGAAAGAGCTGAAACATTTGAGCAATCAGCCCATCACATTCCAAATCCAACATGACGACACAAGACCTGACTTTGGCCACAGTTTCAAGAATCAGGGCCCTCTTATTATACGATCTACTGGACTCATCAGATAAACCCTCGAAAGAAGATACGATCAGTTGAAAAACATCCTGTATAACAAGAAATTAATATGTCATAAATGGGCAAGGAGGAAAGTAGTGAGACCTTAGTATAAATTCCAGTACCTTCATTTTGTCATCATCATAAGGAGCATCTGGTGCGGTTATCCTGGTTATCTCACTTACGCAAGAAGCAACAGCAACTTTCACATCAACATTTTCATGCCTAAGAAGTTCATCTGTGACCAATGCATTTGTTAATGGAGAGAGCGCAGCTTGCATGGATTTCGCAGGCGACTGCTCCACTCTTGATAGGAAATTTTCAACTTGCTTGAAGTACAAAAAAATTGACAAGGAGTAAATAAATAAAAAAATACAGTAATGTACTGAATTAACACACGCAACAAGAACACAGAGAGACAAAATGAAAGGTCAAGTTAGAAAACTTCTCTTTGCCTGTGAAGTCAAAGAAATAAGTATTCTAACAGCTGATGTAAAATAAATGAACTTAAAAGTCAATTTCAGTCAACAAACAAAGTAAAGCCTTCTCCAGCAATGTTACCCAAAACATGCAATGTCAACACATGCAGAATTAAATTCCAAAAATCAACAGTACTAGTTTCCTTTCTTGATGGAAATTTCATTTTAAGCAGGGCAGAAAAGGCAGTGTTAATGTAATCCAAGCTTCAGATAATGAGAATGGATACATATTACATCATGATATTGGCTGACTTAGAAAACCACGCACATTTGACTTCCAACAATAACTAATAGCTGTACCTATTTTCTGTCTGACAAAAAAGGCATTGAGGACAAATTTGTGATACCACCTAGATCATTCACCCTATCCATGCAAAATATTCCAGTACCATCAAATTTCCAAGCATTGGATGCCACAATGGACTTGAAAACAGTTTCTGAATGGACTATAAAATGCAAGAAAGATGCTTCAATGCATCTAGGAGAAAATGAAAGAATTCTGGAGTGTAAGATGCCAAATTCATTACCATTCCACAATAAAAAAGTTTTCAAATGACTGGTTAAACGCACGTAGAAGAAACAAGTCCCATCAAGGGTCATATAAGCAGCAAAGAAATAATGCAGAATTTTGAAGGATCCATGCAGTCAAAAAGTTGCATTAACTACAATAACCTTTAGTCTCCAGTTACTTAACCTCTTCAATGCTGAATAGAACAAGTTTCCAAATTAATAATGGCGAACATATACAACTCATATGAAGCTCAAACTGTAAGCAGGGAATCAATTACCTTTTAAAACCTCATACATACAGCAGAAAGCAGTAAGTTTAACATTAAAAATCAAGACCAAAAAGAAAGAGTGAGATTACATCACAGATCACATGACAAATAAGAAACTAACTTGCATGTTTACAACCAGGGTGTTGAATTAAAAGTGAATGTAAACAAGAAACAATATATCATGCGCATTCTTGTCAAAGGGACACACCTCATGCGGCTAAGAGTCAAGGTTGAAAGAAAGGCATTTAAAAAAGCACCCTACGACACATAGCAACTAAACTTTACATTTATGAATCAGGGTTCAAAGAAGAGCATTCGAAGCACTCTATGACATGAAGCAATTAAGCTTTCTTCAGGCAAGCATCTTCCGTAGCGACATGAGACATTAAAGACGTGTGCCACCCATAATATTCTGTTACTACGCTCATTGTGAACTTAATTTTCTTCCAACTATCAGTCAGATTTTTGAAGTGTAACACAAAACCACTATTAAGATGGTCACAAAATTACAACAAGAAAATCAACCATGGCATTTATTTTCATGAAAACCACAACAAAGATTCAATTTGAAAACTTCTGTCAGTAAGCCAACATTTTGCGCGAACTCCTGTAATAACCAAATACCAAATTCAAAACATCTGACACTGAAATAGCAGCCTGGACATGACTCAAACACCTCTCTTAGGGTATAAACAAAGAAAGGATATCTTGCAGTTTAAGTTTTAATATTGCCATTTGTATATTGTACTGCTCAATGTTACGTAACACATTGGTTCACAAAGTTCAGCAGACCTACTTTAAACATATCATAATTGGCACACACTGTCAAAAGATCTTACCCCCCAACTTTTAATTCTCTTCCTTCTTTGGCAACTTTTCTTCTACTCCTCTCTCCCTCTATTTCCGATCCCTCTATACTTTCTAACTTGGTGCTCTAATCGACTCTGCATGTTTTTTTCAAACCCATCACCAACCCTTGGCCCCTCTTTGTTCCCTGTAATCCAAATATACTAGAATATAAATTCTTAACAATACCCCAAAAATGAAAACTGCAGGAGGCACCCTTGACTTTTGTCCATTCAGAATCCCACTATTATTCCGAAACATGATATAGTAATGATCTCTCCACTGTTATTCCGAAACTTTTTTTTTCAAAACTATTTTTTCTCATAGATGACGTAATGAACTTATGTCACCGGACTTTTAATGCGGGAAATGTGTTGAAAGAGTCTCATCAAATGACTCAGAAAAAACAAAAGCAGCAAACCAAAATAAGAATTGCATTTTTCTTGCCAGAAAGTTAATATGTACCTTAACAGAAGTAACTTAACCCAGATAAACAACCAGCACAAGCAAAATAAATGCAGAACACTCTTGTATTACACAAGCATATAAAATCTTCACCTCGAGATGGGTCATCCATATTTAATAAGCACATGCAAACAACAAAACATGTTGGGCAAGTTAATAAACTCACACCTATAGGAAATAGTGCTGAAATCGCCAGTTCGTACAACCAAGGATAATTAAGTCAACAAAACCTTGTAAAACTTACCACTATAATCAAGACAAAGGAATGGAGACCATACAAGAAGCGGAAAGTCCAGACAGCGAAAAGGGGCAAAAAAGTACAAATTTTTGTACAAACATGCCCAGAATAGATAATTCTCAGCACCAAATAATAAACGAGAAAAAGGACACAAAAGTCGGCAGGTGTACGGATCAAAAAAGATAAAAGAATTTAGGGCTTACGTCAAGCAAAGGCAGAAGTTCATCAAGGGAAGACGGAGGCTGGAGAAGTTTGCCCCCAGCTTCCTTGAGCTGTTCCTCGAGCTCTCTCTCTGCGGACATCTTATCGGTCATCTATTCCAGATCTCTCAGAAAAATCTACCGCAAATTGAACCCAATAAAATTGGCACCATCAAAGCTCGACAAATCAACCAAAACCCTAGAGATAAAAAAAATTTAAGCGGCAGATACAATCTACTGAGACAAACGGAGAGGGGTGGAGAGAGAGAGAAAACCTAGGGTTATGCTTTTTCAGAGATAGAGAGAAGGAGAAACCCTAGTAAAGCTGCCAACCCAGAAACGAAGGAACCGGATCTCCCCGACGCAACAGAGACAGAGAGAGATGCAGTTCTATTCCCAAAACACACAGCGACACTCGCCAGAGAATTTTTGTTGTTTTTTGATATGAAATCTGAGCCAGTTTTTTAGCTCTACACCCACGGCGGAAACACCCACCTACAGTAGTCCACTGCCGGTATTTATACACACGAGGAAATTTTCTTAAGCAGTCCCCCGATATTCTTATAAACGCTTTTTGGTCTCTCAAATTACAGTAAAACACTTTAACTCCTTTAGTGGCACTTCATGCTATTTATCGTGTGTGTGTAAATAAAATTGTTTATGGTAATAAGATAGGTAAGTAATTAATTATTTAACTATCAAACTAATATTTTAACTAAAATTCATGCTCCTTGCGTTCGCAAAATAAATAATAATAATAATAATAATAATAACAAGAGAAAATTGTAACAATGTATGACTGTAAACAATTTTGAAATGAATGTTTATCCTTTTCTTTTATTTAGTATATATTGAGTTGTTCTAGTAGTATGTATGGGTTATTTGGCAACGAGTTGGAAAAATGACTAAACATGAGGTTAGACATCATTGGTTGACAACTTTAAAATGTTTTGGCAACTAAATAATTATTTGTTAAATATTTACCTGTTATGAAACTTTTATGAATACATGGTTCAGGATCTTTTAGCATTTTTTTTTTACATTTACTTAGATAGAGATATGCATGTACCTTTACACCGTATTTAAGTTGAAAGGAAAAACTTGAAGGTGTCAAAATGGCACATTTAGCAAATCTTGTTTAGAATTGATTACACAATTAGATGATTATTTAGTTCATTTACATGTCAGGAAATAACTTCGAGTTGGGCATGTCAATGGATCGAGTTTTACCCAAATTCAATCCAAACCCAGTGTACTGGAGTAGGGTTTGGATTTAATTTCTCAAACCCAAAACCTACCCTGTAAAAGAGTTATAAGTTTGGGTAGAGTCTGATTTTTTATGATTCATAGATAAATTCAAACTCATACCAGACCATATCCAAATTCATATATATCCAATTAAATTATATATATATATGTTAATATTAGTAAATTTATAAAATATCCCAATATTCTATGATTATTGGATACAATAAAATTTCATGATTGTTTTCTTTTTTCAAACTAGGTCTTGTTTGGCAGACAAGTTTTTTGCCAAGTTTGTCTGTTATAAGTTTTTTAAAAACTTTAACTACAGTAACTTAAAAAAACTTTTCAAAAATTTTTAAACTATACATTTCAAATTTTTTTAAAAAAACTTCTACAGTAAGTTACAGTAAAATTTTAGACAAATACCAAAAAAACTCACTCGCCAAACGGGGCTTAATTCTAGTTGTCATTGGAATTAATACAAACTTTTTCAAAAAAAATAAAGACAAATAAATGAAAGATTAGATATAAATAAAGCTAAAGTTTAAAAAAATAGAAGCAGTCGATAATAGTTTTTTTTTGAGTTCATAATATTACATTCAACTTCTTAAATATTATTTATATTATTTGAAAAAAATTGGATTGTGTTTATATTTTTTTGAAATCTATATATTTATAATATATTTTTATTTTAGTGTGTTTAGAAAATTCCAAAAAATACCCATTGAATATCTAGATTCAGGAGGGTTTGAGTTTGAATTTATTTTTTAGATTGTTTAGGGTCTAGGTTTGAGTTTGAATCTAACTAAATTTAATGAGTTTGGATTCGGATCAGAGGTATTCAAATCAAATCCTATCTATTGGCATGTATAGCCATAACAATGTCACCATAGTGTATATCTTTTTATGATTCCTTTACATGTTAGGATATAAATGCACTATGTTATGGACACAAAATAGCTTCATCGAGATAAGTAATAATTTTTATGTCCACACTCATTAAATCACAAAATTAGCTTGTAATATGTGCGAGAATTCCTGTGCTTACGTACGCACATTGACAAACCATTGCTGGATTAGCTACATGACGATATGTCTTTGTTTATAGAAAGTATGAAAATCCACGTGTGCTGATAATTACTTTACATTTAAAAGTAGCTGTTGCTAAACAAATTATGGAAAAATATGTGTATGTGGTATCCATTAATTGTAATAAATATAAAATAATTATTGCATCGTGTTTCATTCTTAACATCTAGACGTTCGAAGGTAGTGTACAGCGAAAAGTAATAGTTCGTGCAGTAAAAGAGATCAATTTGAACAAATAAGGTAATACATAAATATATATATGTGACGACCTCATTTCTCCTTAGGGCGAACTCTAAGGTTTCGGCGGGTCGCCTGTCTAACTCATGCCAATACTCAATACAAGTAAAGATTATAATTTAGAACTAAACATCCAATAAGAAGGCTAATATAAAGAAAAGTCACTTCCTTTGATAGTCAACCAATTATACATCATAATATTTCCAAAAGTTACATCAAATTTTCCGAAATACAATCACCAAAAGTTGACTAGATTTTTTACATCCATACTTGGGCCAAAAGATAATCAAAGCTAACTTCTCCAAAATCTTTTCACTTCAAGTTTCTGTTAAGAAAAACAAACTTAAGGAGATGAGCTAGTGCTCAGTGAGGCCAAGAAAATAAACAGGCAAGCAAGTAACACCAATCAATCAAATAACATACTTAAAAGCAACTTTAAACATGATATTTCATTTAAGTGTATAAGTAGGAATTTAACACACATGAAGGATACAAGATCTCTCAGGAGTTATTTCCACGTCTCGATCGATTGGCCCTTCGGGGTTGACCCTCCGTCAATCTAGGTAGTAACACGACCGTAGTGTTCCACTTACTTTCTCTATCTAACATAACACCCACTCGAATCCGGAACCAAACATGTAAGGCGTGGCGATACTATTCAAGTATGCCTAATGAGATCTGTCAAATAGATCAATCTATAATATTTCTCAAGATTCACCAAACTTCTCGACCAAATTCTTACTGACTCAAGTTACAACGTTAGCCGATGGGTTGGGGTGCCTCATAGAAGTATAAGTGGTCGATGAGATATCGCTCCAATCGATTTAGAATTGTTTATGGCTCTGAATCGGTATAAGAAGCACCTCCCACCCGAACAGGGTGTGATACATGCTTTCGCTCAGAGAATCGATCATAGCACTGAATCGGTATGAGAGGCACCTCCCATCCCAATAGGGCGTGATAAATGCTTCGGCTCGGTACTCACGAGTTAAACAAGTTCATGTATAAGTGTAAGTCATGTAAATTCATGTAACAAGTATCATGAAATTAGAAAAAAGAGGACGATAGCGATAAAGTACACTCTCGTTTTAGCAAATTCACGTATCATTTATAGTACTTGTACACATATCATTTCAAACATATAAGCATTTAATATGCACTTGACACTCACTACAAGTCAAGGGCAAAAACAAGAGTGAAGCGAGAAGTCAGACGAGTTATTTGGCATTCTCGTGACCACCTGAGACATGTACAATCATCATTACTTAGATGCTCGACCAACGTTAAAAGAAAGACATTTTCTCGCTACTCACTCTCACGGTCACAAGTTTGAGTCAAGTTAAAGAAACTTTTATAGCTCAAACATTGGAATAATGTTCAAAGAGAGCTCAGAGGTCGTCTTTGATTCGAATCGTGGTAAGAAATCTCAATTCAAAAAAAAAATACCGTTTTCATATTCGGCACAAAAATCAAGAAAAAAAGATAGATGGTTTATGTCCCAAAACTTCAAATCTCATGTTACAAAAGTTAAAATATAAAGAACGTTCACATTTTTTCAAACTAATGGAGTCAAAATGCATTTAAAACTCCGCTCATTTTCATAGTAAATGTCAAGGCTATGGCTCCATGTTTGAGTATAACTAGTGAAATTTCTCCAAGATTTACTATAGTCAAACGCTCCCTTTTTAAAAATTTAAATTCATGGAAATCGAGAGCATAAAACTAGGGGTTGAAGTCCTTAATTCAAATATGAAGAGATGTGCTATAAATCAAGGGAGTTATATAACCAAGAAAATGCATCAAAAGAGGTTTAACCTTCTGAAATCAAGATTTGAAATGAAAGTTTAAAGTTCAAAGAGACTTTATAATCATGAAATTAAACTTAAAACAGTCCAATAATTTGTGGAAAGAAAGGTGGAAAGTTATTAAAAGAATAATTTGGGTGAAAATAGAAAATTTTCAGTTGAAAGTGACACTACTTGAAAAAATTGTATCTCAAGTTCCATAAGTCCAAAAAATTGAAAACTATGTACCATTGGAAACTAGACTCAAAGCACTAAAACTCTCTAGAAGACACTTTTCTTAGACTTTAATTTGAAATCATTCAAATAGCTCAAAGTCACTATTCTAGACAAAACAGAGCAAAACACTTGAAAATTTGGCAAAATTTGTAGAAATGGAATCAGACCTTGAAATTTATACCACAATTAAAACTCCAAACCTAGTTTCAAATGCAATAAATAGAACTCAATTTAGACCTTTCTACATCAAGATACAATGGTTTTAAGAAAATTGTATTTTGAAACCTGTTTTTGAAATTTCCAATTTTGAAGGCTTGATGGAGTTTCAAAATTCAATCATAACTAGGGCTACAAAACTCGAAATTTAGTGTGGTTTACGGCGTTGAAAACTAGATTCAAAATTCTACAATTCACTAGAAGGAGCTGTCTTAAAATTCAGTTTGTAAGATAGGCAAAATTGAGGTATAAGCCGCAGCTAAAACTGTTTCTCGGATGAAAGCAGTGAGGAATCTCAGTGATTTTTGCTCATTCACTATAGCTCCTAGAAAATGATTTAGGACTTGCATTTTATACCTACGAAAAGCTCTCAGAATCTAGTTTCGGATGCCACAAATGGTACTCGCTTTCAACTTCCAGACAGAAAGTTATGACTTAAAATGTGAGCACTAATTGGGGTTTCCTGCTCAGAAAATTTTCAGAATTCATCTTCACTTTAACCTTACTTAAACACAACTAAATGGAAAGTTTTTTGGAAGGTTGTTTATACACATAACCACCAACATGTATCAAGCATTATTGCACCAAAATAACATCAAAATTTTGAAATTAACAAAAGAGGAACAACCAGAAATTTTCGGTCAGCATACAACTTTCACTCCTTTAGCTTTCTTTTCAACTTTGCAAC